AATTATAAAGTCAGAAAAATCCCTGTCCGCCTTCAAAAAGAATTACCCATATTTGACATTACAATGAAGACCCCAACAAAAAAAAAAACGCCTTATCAATAGGAATCTCTTCGTGCTTGGTACTTGCGCACTAAAAATAGATGATGGAACGAAGTAAGTGACATCTTGGTAAAATTTTGTTATAATGAAAATGGCAAAAAAATATTTCATAATTAAAATTTTTATAAATATTAAATAAGTATTTATTTAAATATATTATTCATTTTTTATAACTTTGCCCCTTTCATGAAAAGGATGCAATCATGCATTTTAATATTAATCGAAAATGCATCTGGTGATCTCAAAACAATATGAAAAATGAATGGTATTTCGGATTTACTGTATCCATATTCTAAATTAGAGTTGTTAAAAGTCCAATCCTTTTGGTCCGAACTTTATAAATAGGGACTTTAATTAAAACTTAGTCCTTAAATTAGACTTATGCATATAATAATACATTATATAGGTGAACTAATTATAACTAATTAAATTTAGATTAAGCCAATCAAGATTGCGAACCTATTTTATAATTATCCCAATATATTTAAACTTCCGAAATTTATTTATAAAAAAAAAGTTATATAATATAGTTGATTTAAATCTATAAAATTTCCACTTCAATCCAACTTTTTATACATAGAGAAGCTCTTGTTGATTCTTCAAGAAGATTATTTCTTTCAAAATCTAATGTGTGTTTAGCTATAGAAAAAGCACGTTCACAAGGAATACTTGTGGCTTGTAGTGCAAAATAATCAGCTGCCATTAAAGCTATATTAGGAAAATTATGAGCTTTCGTTTTCCACCATAATAATGGATCAATACTTGATTCTGAAGGTAATGAAAGATATCTAACTAATTCATTTGTTGTAATTTCATTATTACTATTTAATTTTCCTAAATTTCGAAAATATTCTAAAGGATTTTGTTTAGGTTCAATTATTTCTTTTTTTGCGTAGTAAAGGGAATAAAAATTTTTTAAATTTTCAATAGCTAATTGACGATTTTCTTCAGTAAAGGTTTCAAACTTAGTGGATGGATCAAGAAGGGTTGGAATAGATGATGATTGTGAAAGGTAAGTCCAATATTTTGTTAATTTTTTTTTCATTTCTTGAGCTGCTTCGCAATATATACTTATTTTTGTTTTTTTGATATAATATTCAAGATGTGTTATAAGTCCTTGAAAAATTATTCGTAATGAACTATGTAAAGGTATTGAAGTTTTAGATAATTCTAATGTAGCTTTGTAAAAAGGTTCAAGAAATTGAATCATTTCTTTAATTATTATCCAATCTTCAGATTTTAAATAATTTTCTTTTAAGATAGGATAACGTCTTATAAGATCTTCAATAATATCTTGAATTTCGATAAACCGTTTGATCATAAGATAGGTGGAATTCCATCTTGTTTCGACGTCAAGTTTAGGGTAAAGAAAAGGTCGATTAAAAATAGCAAAAATTCTTTTCATCTCATTTAAAAATAAAGGTGAGTTTTTAATTTTACTACAAATAGATCGTATTTGTTTTACTTGTTTAATATAGTATTTCTGACCTTCTTTAACCACAAGATTTAAAACATGGGCGGCACATCATATATATATAAAATTTGAATCGATATGATCTTGAAGGTAGTGTAAACATGTTAGATTATTAGATGCATTATCTCCGGTAAAACCCTATTATAATAATAAATTATTAAAATTATTAGAATATTATTAATTATCAAAATGCATATAAATAATACTTACCATAACTTTATCTTTTATTTCTAGATCTTCTATAAGGTTAAATATTTTTTCGCCAAGATATATACCAGTATGAGATTCGTGTAAAGGTATAAAGTCAAGAAGAATAGTTTTCATTGTCCATTCTATATCGATCCAATGGATAGTAATGCCGAGAAATTGTTGTTGATTACATGTGGTCCAAACATCAATAGTAAGTGCTAGTTTACTACGGTTTGATTTCAAAATCTTTTTAATTTCTAATCTCATAGATGCGAATTTGTTTTTAATAGTTGTAGAAACGGTTTGACGACATGGAAGTTTGTATCGTAAATCAAGATTTGTAGTATATTTAATAAAAGAATTATCATCAACTATTGAAAAGGGTAATTGGTTTTTGATAATTAATTCATATAAATCATGGTTTAAAGATTGTATACGATCTTTACCAATTTTATCGGTCATTGAATATGAAGGGTAAGTAATTTTTGTATTTTTTCGTTGAAAATCTTTATAAGTATCTGGGTGTTTATTTTCAAAATGACGTGAAATTGTTGATAAAGATGTAAATGCTCCCCATTTACCAAGTTCATTAGTATTGGGATTATCGAAACATATTTTGCAAACACGGATACCACCCTCAATTATTTCTAAATAATCATGAACAGGTGATGTTCTTTTTTTGGATTTTTTTGTGTTATTGTTATTTTCGAAATAATTTTCATGTGTATTTTTTATTTGGGAATTAATTGAAGAAATGGAATTAAGATCTAAAGAAGAAGTGGAATCAAGATCCGAAGAAGTAGAATTAAAAATTGGAGAAACAGGTAAGCTAGAATAAGACATTAGAAAAAATTCTAGAAGCAAATTTAATCGATGATTTGTTTTTTAAAAAAATCAAATCAATAGAAAAATTCAAGGCTTTTTATTATCGAATGAAAGAATATAGCATTCAATGCATAAATTAATATAATTATGTAAAAATTTTTTATCATAAACAAAGTCTTCTTTAATAAATTCGTTAATTAATTCGAAACTGTATGCAATGTTAATATTAAGAGCTTATTTAATTATGTTTAACCAATATTAATTAACTTCTAACATATAAACGTATGAAGTTGTGCATCTCAGATCTGTGTGACACGAGTTATTATTTGTACGTACAGAATTAATTGTGTTGATCCTTAATGTCTTTCTTTTGTTACCCGTCTTCCTTGATATAATATTGTTGTTATACATGGAAAGTCTGTTGCTAAACTTCTAGGTTTGCATCACGGCATGTTATTTTCTTTTCTTATAAGGTAACACTTTAACTCGTACTGACATGTTAAAAGATTTGATTGAGTTAACCTTTCAGTCTCTTTTAGCAGCACAATTGTATAAAAACCAAACAGTTTTAAGAGATGCAAATATTCTTTTATTTACAATACAAGTCGCAAAGTTAATAAAGTAAGAGTTAAGCTTATTCTGTCTACATGTCATTTTCCTTCTATTTATTCGTCCAAGTCTTATTTTTCTAATTTAAACTCAGCTAGCTAATTATTGTTAGGCGCGTGCTGTTCGCATTACGCGTAATGCGTTGTGCAATACAGCCTACCTTTTCGACCATAAAATATATAATATAGATAAATGGACATATTGCATCCATGTATAAGTTATCCAATATAGAACTTAAGACTTTGATGCACTATACCTATATATGTCTATTGCGAATTGATATATTACTCATTTGTATAATCCATTTGATATCAATAAAATATTCGTATATTATACTCTCGTGTAGAATACTAAATTATTTATTACGTTATTACATGGGTTATTTGGATATCAATAAGTATATAGGTATACTAAATCTTTGCATGAGTTATCACAAGTTGAGATATCGTTTAGCTAGATAATTATTTAGATATAAAAAATGTAAACTTAATATCCTCGCATAAGTTATTATTTAAAAATAGAATTAATCGTAACCAATTGACAGAGATTCAGAATCAGCATAAGTTAATTTGAATCTATTATAATAACGAACAAGGTCATATTTTCCAGTTTGTCAATTGCATAGTAAACACTGATGGTTTTGCGAATTAGAAATAATTTTTTTATTATTATATTATAGTATAAGTGATAAGTTCCCGGGAATATTTATTGAATCGACAAAATCAGCCAATCACATGAATGCCTTACTACATGCAGGAACCGATATTTCCTACATTCGGACTTTGTCTGAAACAAGCTAGGAGTCGGTCTTAAAAGGTTCATGTGAGGTCGACTCAGAGACCGGATCCAACAAGCTTTTTAACAGCCCTACATACGATGATACAGAACACAATCCGAATCTGGATTTTTCTAGTTATGTAAAAGTGTTGTGTAACATTTCCGATAGTCCGACATCATCCCCCTATGTTGATACTTTCCCGTCCCTCTAATCGTGCGAGAAACCGCTATAACAATTAATCCTCATCTTAGTTTACCAACTTCACTATTTAGAGGGCTGTGTTATTGGAATTTGCTTTATACCAACGAATAAACTTTATTAATTTTAAATTTACTTATTTCTACTTTATTACCTTTGACAACAAATATTCTAAATAAATACAAATGATATAACAAATAATAATAATATACCGATATAACCTGCAAAAAATGTTATTGATTATAGGTATTCATTTCCAAGTAAGACAAAAAGAACACCACACAAAAATTATACAGTAAGTAAATTGACGAGAAAGGTGTGTAATGGTGAATCACCCAATCTTTTATATTTTACTCGTCTCAGTTAAACATTCGCGAAGCAAGTCCTATTGCATGCTGTTCAGTAAGTGTGATTTGGCACCTGTCAGAAGGATCTTCGATCGCTGAATTTTCATTAGTCTCGGATACAACAACAGGCCCTGTCCCAGCCCCAGCTTCGTTAATAGTTTTAGAGGGTTGTAAGAGTTCTTGGGAAGGAGGGATTGATTTATTAACCGTTGACGTTTGTGATAGCATATCTTGTGATGAAGACGTGCTTGGATGGAAATAAATTTGATGAATTTCGCTATTATGGATTAAATATTTCGGTAAGGGCAAAGGATTATAAAAATGGATTTGATTAATCTTGCTGTCACTAATAAGGGGCGTGCTTTTCTGAGAGAGTGAAGATACTTCATCTTGGCGTTGGCTATTCATTATTTTAGAAAGTTTATTATCAAAAAATTCTTAAAATAGTGTATGCAAGAAAAAAATAAAAGGATATATTTTATCTGAAATATTTGAGTAAACGAGAAAAACGAAAACCACATTTATACATTTCTCATTATTTTGAACACGTACGTACGTCATGGTGTATAGGACTTCCCGCAGTATACTTGCATGGATATTTTAATATTGCATATATACGAATAAGCAAATAAATAATTTTTTTTTTAAAGGTGAATAGGCGATCAATGTCATGGTTTTTATTGAATTTGATTATTTTGTACCATACATCTAAATGGTCTTATGCATGCTAATATTACTATTAAATGTAAATTTAATTATAACCATTTCACATTTGTAATTCAATTATACAAACTTATATCAATTGATGGGTTATATATCAGTTCAGATTTATTAGAAGATAAAAATTCTGCTACGGTTTTAAATCACCTAACTTAATTTGTCCAGGTGTGGCTGCATTATTATGGGAAGGTTATATAAAATAACATTTTTTTGAGAAGCCAATTCAAGAATATCCTGATTATTCTTTTTGCTTATATTAGAATCTATTTTAAAGAAGCAAAACACGTATTAATATTTAATAAATAATTTTTTTCAAATTGCATCTTTGGCTTATATAGTTATAGAGTTTAATATTAATATTGAACTTTTTAATAAATACTTTAAAACTGTAGCTTTGATTGATACTGTTAATTATAATAACAAGTTTATTGCTAATTTGAGATTGGCTCTTATGTTATATCAGAATAATGATAAGTAAAATTTCTTTTACTTATTAAAGTTACTTATTTCTGCTCTAAATTATAATTAATAAATTATACTTATTTTGTCTTTCTTATAGATAGCAAATTGTAAATAATTAGTGTTCTTTTTATAAGAAAGATAATTATACTAGAAGTATAATCTACAATTTTTATTTATTTGTTATTCAAAAACCATTACATAAAAATTAATAAATAATATATCAAAATAAAGCTTAAAATCTAGAAATTATAATAATATAAATTTTATATAAAAATGGTTTTTAAAATTTTTTGAAATTAAATTTTGAAATTAAGTATTAAAAATTGATTACAGATAAAAATTTCATTAAAATTATTATAATTTTATAAATTTTAATTCAATAACTTTAAAAATTTGTTAATTCAATCTATGGATTTTTTACTTTTTTAAAAAAATTTTTATAACTTTGTAAATTTAAATAAAATAAATTTAAAAATTGACTAATAATAATAATAATAATATATTTTTTTTATGAAATTTTTTATTATTTTTTAATTTATTATTAATTAAAATATTAACAATTTTAAAAAAAATTCCAAAAAGTTTTATAATATATTGTATATTTAAAATTTTAAAAACAATATTTTTTGTATTAATAATTTATAAATTAAATAAGTAAAAAAAAATTTGGTCATATATTATTGTTATAAAATATATATATATATATAATATAAAATAATATATAATATAAATATAAAATATAATATAAAATATAATTATAATTAAGAATCCTAATAATTTGATTTGATTCTTAATTCTCAAATTTATATTAAATTTATTATATGGATTATAATTTTTAATAGTGTTTCAAATCTTATACAAGTCTATGCAAGTTTATTAAATTTTAATTTTCAGGATTATAAATAATACAAGAAATTGATATATTAAATTATATATTAATATAAGATAAAAGTCTAATAATAAATTTATAATAAATTTTTATAATATAATAGTTTATTTAAGAAAATAAAAAAAAACCCATGAACCCTGTTGTAGCATAGCAAATACTTCACCTTCCACAGACATCAAATGAAACAAAACACTCAAAAAAAACAATACAAAGAACAACAAAGCCAACAACAACAATCTCAACCCTAAAGCAAACACTTCAAGAGCCAACTCCACCCCTCACATTAACAATAGCTCAAATCCTCAAAACAGTGTTACAACAATTGATCTCCCTACATTAGTTGCAGAAACATTTATCCAAAAC